ATCCATCCTGTGACTAAGCTAAATGGGTAGGCTCTCAAGTTTCATGGTAAGGCAGGTTTTGAAGATTTTTTTTTATTTTTTTTTTTTTTAAACCATTGGCTGTGGCTTTTTTTCTGAACCCTCCCAGGAAGGCCTGGTGAAGAGGAGATTGTGTGACATAGCTGTATCAGAGAGTTTGCAGAGGGCTTTGTAGGTTTTGCATACTGAAACAAATGGGTCTCACACCTGCTGATTTCCTGAGCAGCTGACATAAAGTATCCCAGCAATCTTCCAGTCACATCCCTCTCTCTTTCTGTCCACCTGCAACCCTGAAGTAGGCTGATCTACAAAACTGGAATTCTTTGTCAGAAACTGCATCCTGAGCTTGGAATCTAAAGTCATGCCCTTGAAAACCAGAGGAAATGGCGGAGCAGTCACTCAGCGCAGTTGGGTGCTGCTGGTACCTCCTGCCTTGTCTTTCAGACCATAGCACCCAATTCTGCATTGGGGCACTTCTCCAAAAATTATATACTTGAATTCTGAGGTCAAATCCAATACTTCAATTCCCAGAGAAGTGCCCTAACCATAAAACTATAGGCTATTTTCGGGGTTACTCTGCTGCCCATCCTGCTCTGGAGTTGGATTGCTTTCAAGAATGCGTGAGTTATGGGCCAGAAGGTTGGTATGCAAGAGGGAGCCTGCCTTGGTAGATATTTTGTGTTGCACAGTAATTGGATACAAAAAAGAAATAAAGCTAAGGGCAGACACAGTGATCCTGGGTCTTCCCCTCCTAGCTGAGTGCCCTGACCTCCCTGGATTACAGAGCTGGATCTTGGCATTCTTGCCTCCTTGGCCAAGGATTTTTTACACTCGTGGGTACCTGATAGCACAGCGCCAGCATGACGGGTTTGATGAGTTTATGAACTCATAGTTGATACAGATTTCCTTATCTCAAAGAGATAAAAACTTAGCATGTGAAATGTAAATGTAGCTAGGCCTTTGGTGTCTAGTCTAAGGTTAAGTTATTTTCTGCTCCAGCTCACGTGCTGGAAAAAAGGGGTGGGGGGAACTGGCCGCAGCTGGCAACGATGCTTGAAGAAGCTGAAAACTGTCACATGAGAGCTTCCACCGTCTCTGCCCTGGGAGGAAACCCCCCTGTGCAGTGCGAATCGTGGGCCCAGGCTGGCATCTGTGCAGATTTTAGAGGCGTTGGCCTCTTGAGGCAGTTCTCACTTGCCTGGTCTCAGCCACACGCTGTTCAATTCTGTGACATCGAAATAGGACAGAACTGCCCTGCTCCTGCCAGAAGCCAGACTCTTCTCTAGTAAGTTTTGTGTTTCTTCACATCCTGCTCTGTCTGCAGACAGACAGGATTCACCATGTTGCTTTGCATTCAGACTGAGTTTACCAAAACATTCTGTTTCTCTGGGAATACTGACATTTCTCTTCTCTTTGCATGTGAGCACTGAAAATATATGTGGTCCTTGGCTTGTTGCTGGCACCAGGTGACCTTGTTTGCACCCTTACTTGCTTGAATAGGGAGTTTGTGTGCCAGGGCTTAGAAAAGGGTGATTTGCAGGCTAGTAAGGGGCAACACTGTGATTAGAAATTCCGCAATCTGCCAGAATGCACATTTGACCTGCCAGTGTAACATATATTATTATTCTATTATGTAAACATTTTAAGGCACAAGTTTGATATGGATTAATGACAGAAATAAGTGGTATGTCCCTACCTGTCTGTAGAATTACTTGCTAACATGTACTGCAGTGTTTGGTTTATAACCTTACAATAGTGGCTTTGATTAATAATGCTTTATTAGTTACAAACACAGACTTACTGAATAAATCCTACTTACTCTGTTGAATGGCTCTCCATGCCTACATAAAACTATTTCAGTAATTAGAAAGCTACTATAATATTTCTCTATATTGTAGACGTCGAGTTGTTAGCTCTCTGTCAGCTTTCCTGAATTCCTACATAGGATTTCTACTTGACCCCATCCTTGACACGCAAGGGAAACGGTTTCAACTTGCATTTTGTGCTGAGAAAGGGCAGGTGTTTTCCAAAGACAGGGTTTTCCAAAGAAAAGAGGAAAGGGTGGGGGAAAGAGCGCATCTCTCCTTCTGATGTGCCCCTGGACCTGTACTGTCCTCTTCTCTCCAGTCTCATTTCTCTGATCCTGGAGGGGGAGATACCCCTGCTGAAAAGGATCAAACTCCCTCCTTGAAGGACAATGGAGTTATCACAGTTGCTCTGTGGGCTTGTGTTTCAAGAGAAGAACAGCAGAGTATGCCTGAGGAGTGTTGGCATAAGGCATCTTGTGCCGAGCTCACCTCTGTCTTTTCCTAGAAGATGTAGGCTTGTAACTCCTGGAGTTTTTCCTCCCCTTTCTATATAAAACACAAAGCAGTGGGGATCGATTGTTTTATCTACTACTGAAATGCAGCCATCAGTGCAGAATAACATGAGAACAGTTTGAAAGGAAGCGTGGAACGCTATATTCAACTGAAACTAATTACCTGATTAGGTTTTGGCCTGGTTGTATGGGTTGACATCCAATGGTCTTGGCGACAATATCTTCGAGCAAAGCCAAGTCAAGTCTTGCTTCATTTAAAGACTCTGGACAAAACTTTTGGACTTGTTTGCTGAATGCTAAGCAGCGTGAAAATAGGCCACTGATTTAAAGTACCCGTGGGTACTGGGTGTCAGTGGGCAGTTGGCATGGTTGCAGAAGAATGAGCTTATTTGGGTTTTTGAAATACTGTTTTCCATTTAAACGTGGTCCTGTTTCAAGCACATGGCCTGGTGAAATTTAGCTGTGCATCAGAACATCCTCCATTCACAGCTATAGGATTAGCACTTTCCTTCAGCACTCTGTCCTGGTTTTGCCTGGGATAGAGTTAACTTTCTTCCTCGTAGCTGGTATGATGCTGTGTTTTGGCTTTAGTATGAGAATAATATTGATAACACAGGGATGTTTTGGTTGTTGCGACGTAGTACTTACACTGTCAAGGACTTTTTAGATGCTGACTAAGAAGGCTGGAGATGCACAAGAAGCTGAGAGGGGCAACAGCCAGGACAGCCAACCCCAACTGGCCAAAGGGCTATTCCATACTGTATGACGTCATGCTCAGTATATAAACTGGAGGAAAGCTGGCAGGGGGGTCCACTGCTCAGGGACTGGATGAGCATCGGTCGGTGGGTGGTGAGCAATTGCATCATGCATCACCCACTTCGTATATTATTATTTTTATTATTATTATTAGTAGTAGTACTAGTTTGTTTCAATTATTAAACTGCTCTTATCTCAACCTGTGAGGGTTTTTCACTTTTACTCTTCCAATTTTCTCCCCCATCCCACTGGTGGGGGCAGTGAGTGAGCGACTGTGTGGGGGCTTAGTTGCCGGCTGGGGATAAACCACAACAACTTCAAACCTTAGAAATTTAGCCAAAGAAGTCTGACACTGAGATCTCACAAACTTAAACAATCACCTAAAGGGGTGTTTTTCACCTAGTCTGCTACAGTAGTTCCTTCTTTTTATCTCCATTGGGGTTAAATACGTTAGGTCTGCTTTGTTAGGTGAGAAGTATTTGTTATTGCTGTGGTCATCTTCTCTTGCACCTTTGCTGCAAACACTTTTTTGATCTGTTAGTGTCTTTTTGTTTGGAAAATGGCATGATTTCATATTAGGAGTACCCATGCAACATCTCAAGAGTCTATAGTGTTGGGCATATCTGTATTTACCAGTGTGATGGTAATTTTTTGTCTTGGCATCACTCTAAAGGAAAAAAAAAATCATTACTTGGAAGGATTTGAAGCTTTACTGGGAAGAGAGGGATGAGTCTTTCATTTGTACGCTATTATAAAAGTACAGTCCATTAAGAACAAAGGCAAGCAGAGCACTTTTAGAAAGACTTGAAGTGGCCTTGCCTCTGAACGGGAAGCTTTTGAGCTGCACTCACCTCTGGCACCCTAGAAACTCTCTGTTCTGACTTCCCAGGGAGAACAACGTGAAATGAACTGTCAAATGAGTTGTGGCAGTTCACTGGTGAGCATTGGCCTTATGAGGAAACTTAGTATGTATATTCTGATGTCCTGCACATCGAGACACATTACTAAAATGAATTGGACAAGTGGTTGATGAAAATCCAAGAGCTGGTAAGAGATGCTCCACAGAACAAGAAATCCTAATAGACAACCATAGGAAAAAATATTTTTGCCAACTGGCTGACTATTTTAACTTCCTGGCTTATGCTCTACACTATTCCTTAACATCTAAGATAAATATTGAATTCTCTCCTGTTTACAAACTTTCTTAAACCATTTGCCTAAGAGGTGTTGCCGTATGAAGTCCACAAATTGTGTTTAACTGCAAGAACAAATGCATCAATTTTTCAGCCTCCCACAAAGACAACAAATGCAGGCCTGTAAGTGCCATAAAAGCCCCAAGAAACTTCAGAAGCAATTCAAAATAATAAAAATACACTTTTGGATACCTCTCACTACTTTTGTGTGGAACAAGGCTAAGCAGGGACTCGGGGGCTGGAGAGGCAGATGGGAGTTCACCTTGTGTAACTTGATATTCCCTTCCCCTTGCTCCCACCATCCCCAAGTCAGCTGTCAGTGGCGGCAGGAGTCTCCTGAGCCTTTGCTAGCCAGGATTTTGCCCAGCTGTTTGGCCCAGGATTTCATAGAAGAGGAGGAAACCTTTCTGGCTGAAGCTTCTGTAAAAATCACTGCTTCAGCAATCAAAGCAGCAGTGTCCCTATGGGGGGAAAAAAAGAGTAGGTGGGGAGCGTGAGGGGACAGGGAGGAGCAATGTGACTTTGAAGGGCCTGGCCTCTTCATGGTAAATAATCACCCTAGAGTAGAGCTAATCTCCTAGGAAAAGTGGTGGGATTACAAAGGCAGTAAACTCTCTGCTTCTCCTAAAAGCATGCATAGAGTTCAACTCCATTACAACTCTGTGGTTTGCAAATGTATCTCTCCTAACAGCTACTTGTGTTGCCATTGCAGGATGATTTGGAAATTTGCCTTGTCCATTTTTCTGATGGCAGCGCTCGTTCGAGTAACAGACACCAGGAAAAACCGTCCTGCAGGCGCCATTCCCTCCCCTTACAAAGACAGCAGCAGCAACCACTCTGAGCGGAGGCAGCAGCTGAATAAGGAGGTGCTGGCCTCCAGCCAGGAGGCCCTCGTGGTCACAGAAAGGAAGTACCTCAAGAGCGACTGGTGCAAGACACAGCCCCTGCGGCAGACTGTCAGTGAGGAGGGCTGCATAAGCCGCACCATCATCAACCGCTTCTGCTATGGGCAGTGCAACTCCTTCTACATACCACGGCACGTGAAAAAGGAGGAGGAGTCCTTCCAGTCCTGTGCTTTCTGCAAGCCACACAAGGTCACCTCTTCGACGGTGCAGCTGGAGTGCCCTGAGCTGGACCCACCTTTCCGACTCAAGAAAATTCAGAAGGTCAAGCAGTGCCGGTGCATGTCTGTGAATCTGAACAACTCGGGCAAACTGTGAGAGCAGGCGTGTAGCTGCTGCTTGGTGTTGCCCCCATGCAGCCTTTCCTCTCCCACTGAGCAGACTGTCCATTTTGTTGGTTTGTTTCTTCTTTTCCTGTTTTTTTTTTTGTGTTTTGTTTTCTTTCAGGAGGCATCTCTCCAGCAAGGAAAGGCTCCTTGTCGCTTGCCTACTGGAATAATGCTTTTTAATGGGCTGTGTTAGGCACTTCACCATAAAGTTTCATTGTATTTCCAATATCATCTGGAAGTTGAATCTTCTGGAGTGGAGCAGGCTCCCAGAAGTTGGGATTGATCATCTAAATGACCAGTTGGCTGAATCCAGCATTAAATGTTTCCACTGTGTGGAGTAAAGCCCTCTGCCCTACACTCCAATCCCCTCCACAAGACGAGAACGCCTTCCCCATGCTTTAGTCCGGAGCTTGCCACTCCCACTTGGAAGTGCTGGGGCGCTGCCCAGGACTGTGGGATGCAGACGAGGGAGAGTAACGAGGAGTAACGTGTGAAGAGCAAGTGAGACCCTCCAAGGAGGCTCATCTCCTTAAGACAGATTTAATTGTGCAATGACAAACGGTGCTGGGCTCGTTGTCTGAAAGGCAGATCAGGAGCAAGGGGGAGAGGGTGAGGCGCTGGGTCAGCCACCGTGACCATGGAGCAGATTGAGCGTGGGTTCCGATGCTGTTGTGGTTAGAGTATATCAAACACGTGGTCTCTGCAGCAGCATTTATTTTGTAACCTAGCTATAGTAAACAGCTGTTTAAAGTATTATACACCTAGCCATGTATATTTTTCTTGTGGCAGAATATGCCAGAGATTAAAATATGTTGAGTAAGAGACTTGGTTGCTAGGTCAGCTGCCTGTCTTAAAATGGACATGGTTTAACTAGGCTTTCAGTAGGTTTTTGTGTGTTAGATATGTGTGTGTTTCTTACTCCAAAAAGGACAGCATCCATTTATGACCTTATATTTATGCCTGCTCTGACCAGGGAAGGTGGGAGGGGGCAGTGGGAGAGGAGCTGAGAACACTTAAGGGAACAATGTTTCCCTTAAGGTATAAAAGCACTGTTGCACAAAGGACAAAATTTGGTCGTTGCTGGCCTGAATACAAAAGCTGCATCAGTGTCATCAGGTTGGGGGAGCAGTGGCTCTCCTGTGATTGGAAACCGTGTTAACGTGTTAGTGTTAAAGGACAAACCTGTCAGTCAGTGCAGCTGTAGGAGCAGGGAGTGAGTACGTTGTAATTGCTACAGTACCGGTGGTCCACTCAGTTTTTGAGTCCTACATAATCAGTGTTGGTGAGCACTCGCAATTCATTTTAAATCATACTATGTTGTTATTCAGTTGATGGATTTTAGCATGCCCTGTATATCCCGTTCGTTACTGTTCTGATCTGTATTAGTCCCAGCTGCATTAAAAGCCCATGTCTCAAAACAAACCAGCCCCTTCCCCCAAACCAAAGCCCATGCATGCTCGATTGTCTGATGCTTACGAATTAAAAATGACACGCCGCCTCCCTGATGCATGTTTCACAGTTCAGCATCTGCCACAAGCAAAGCTGGCTTGCTGTGGGAGCCCTTTCCTGCCTGCCTCTTCACGTGCAGCTACTTCAAGGGGTTAACGTGCTTAGCACCCTTGTCAGCCAGGGGTTCAGTGCCACAGGTCTCTATTATGTGAGACGGGCTGCTCTAAGAGGTTTTCAGGACTGAGCTCCATGAGAGCTCACCAAGCGGTTTAGGGGGATTGGCACGGGCAGGATGAGGTTGGTCAGGTCTGTTTGTTAGCCCTGTTACATGAACAGGCCACGGCTTTTTGGCTGCGATCTTTCATTATGGCAGAAGTGCTGCAGGAGACTCCTGCAGGGATTGCTTCAGAGGCTGTTGCTGCTGCACTGCCAGTGTCATGCTGGCTACCGAAGGGGCACTGTCCAGCCCAGGCCTGAGAGTGTTGCTGGGGGTGGAGGGGGTGCATGGCAATAGCTATGGTCTGCTAAGACTCCAGTCTCAGTCTCCACTTGAAAGAAATGAACTGAAAGTCAGGCATTTTGGACTCAAGAGAGAAAAGCACCCTAGTAAGTTTGGTTAAGAAAAATGTGCAAGGATCTTTATCTTTAAGATATGCCCTGCCTGGGTTTTTCCACCAGTTTGCAATATGAATATGCTGCAGCTTAAAGCTCCTTCTAGGAGCTGTGTTTATGTAAAAACTGAGTTGAGCTTGTAATGGTTAAAACTGTATTTAATTCTTGTTTTATAAATGAAAACAAAAAAAATGAAGAAATGCTTTAAGTATAATGTAATTATTTGATAGGTCTACTATTAAATTATAGATTAAATAATAAATCTACTCTAGGGTTATATGGCATCCAGGTGTACGGGCTTTGCTTCAACACCTTGTATCCAACTGCTCTCTAATCAGTATATTCTCCGGCTTCCTTTTGACCCTACCAGGTACAGGTAAATGATGGCTCACCCTGACAGCTTGGGAAAACCTAGCTAATTCTTCTCTTGTCCCCCACCCCCACCAAAATAGATTCTGGAATTGATTCTGCATGCACAAATTCTGGTGGGTTTTTTTTTGGTTAACTGGCAAGATGACAACCAAAGCTCCACCACTGGCTGAACTGCTGGCACCATTTGCGGTAAGAGAAGTAACTATTACCCTGCCCCAAGTGGTTTTGCTTAAAGTAAAGCTGGAACCTTATGTAACAGGCACCAAACTACTCATTGGCGGGGAGTGGGGTGGGGCGGGAGCCAGGAAAGAAGTATATCTTAAGATATAGCTGAGCTTTAATGGTTGCTATCAGCTGTTGAATGAGTACACTGTATGTCTTTCCAACGGTAAGGTAGTGTTTTGGTTTTCTTTCTTTTTTTTTTCTTTCCAACCTAGAAAAAAGATAGTTGAAAAATAATCTTGAAGGAAGACTTCAGTGAGGAAAGGGAGTTCTTACACTGAGGAATGAGCCTCCCTGTGACCAGAAGAGGTGCCTGTCATGGGTCTTGAAAAGCACCAGGAGCACCTAGACCACAACTAGCACAGGAGGGCTATGTCCTTTATGGCACTAGAACTGACACCTGCAGGAACCCTTTGCTCACTTCCCTTCCCCATCTCCTGCACAAATCCTCTCATGGTTCAACAATTTAATGGGTTTGGGGACCTTTTATTTTAGTAGCTGTTGGTTTTGAGAATTACTGTTTTGCTGTTCTTTAGCTACCTCAGAACTCGCAAGTGCCACTGTCAGTCAACTCCGAAGGTGCTCCAGCAGCCATCGCCTCCAACACCCCTCTCTCAGTTCCACACGTCTCTTAGCCGCTCTCCTGCTTTGCAGGCAGCTTCATTTCCCAGCACCCACTTGAACCTCTATGTGTGGTGGTACAGCTTAAACTCCAGCTCCAAGCTCGCCCAGCCTATTGCAGCCCAGCTGCTGAGCCACCCTAGGAGAGGCATACGCTGCAATCCAAAAAAATTCCCCCTTGTGGAAGCAATCCAAGAGCAAGGCCAGTCTCTTGGGGTAGACAAAAAAAGCTTTGGTTCAGGTAGATCCAGTATTTCTTGAAGTAGAGTGGTGGTGTGGGCCAGGGGAAGGAGTGGGACAGTAAATGTTAAGCTCTATCACCATGGAACTTCCACATTGGCAGGGCCTCAATTCAGTGTCCAAGAGCTTAAATATGGGCTGTAGCTGGGAATAAATGAGAAAACAAACAGTGCTGACTCAATGGGGAACCTTTATCTTTAGAAAGACACCACCTTTTTGAGGCAATGGACTTATCCTTGGATGCCTTTGCAGGTAGGTTGGATGAATGTCAGGTACAGCACAGGTACAGACAGATATGTCATAAGCAAGAAAATGGCTTGGAAAACCTGTCCTGTAGTGTGAATCCCATTTGATCGATGGGATGCAGACCCAAATGGGGCAGGGCATGGTTTTCTGTTTCCTCCCTTTGCTGACCTGTTCACACTATCTTCTGAAAAACTCATCTCTCTCTGTTTTCACTTATTCTGTCCATAGCAGTTTGTAACTTCAGTAACTATATAATGGACTTGGCACAAACTCGACTTTGCTTATTAATCTAGAGTATGCAACAAAATAATTGCGATGCAAAGTCTTGCTCTATCTTCTCTTGATGAAATTAATAACTACTTCCAACTTTTTAAGCTGATCACTGAAAAATTGGGCAAGAAAAAACATCAGTCTGTGGAAGATGTCACTAATTGTATTCCCACTGCCGCTCTTGGTTAATACTTAACTAAATTTTGGAAGTGCTTTGGGATGATGAAAGGTGCTACAAAAAAAGTTAAGCACTGCTGTGCCATAATGCATGACAAAGTACCATGCTTCTGAAAGGCTTAAATTTGCAAGCAAAACAACATGAATCTTCTTAGCTCCTCATAAAAAACAGATTGCTATTCTCAGTAAGTCAGTCACATCTGCTGCTCAGGTATGGACGTTCTTCTTCAGCTGCTGCATTTCTTTAAGTAACGGTGTTAGTGATCAACAAAGACTCACTCAGAATTTTCTCCATGAGAACTCTTGTAGGATGGACTACAGTCAACTCAAAATGTAGCATGCTTGATGTTGCAGTAAATGGGGCAGGGGAGAGGGAAGCAATTGGGTGTTCGACCTCTTTAAACACAAAAAAACAAACAAAAGAACATCAGTCTAAAATTCTGTAAAAAGCTGAGCATGCCACTGAAAAAAAAAGAGCAGTGGTGAAACTTATGCTGGGAATCCACTCAGGGTGTGCTGTGCATTGACTTTGGTTCTGCACATAGTGGTCTACTTTGTATGGAAGTTTGAAAACAGGCTGGAGAAAAGCTATATGTAAGAGAGACATGTTGAACCAAATAGGTTGGGCCTGAGTAAAATGAAAGAGGAAAATCTACGTAGCAGCTTGTAGGTTAAGATCATGACATGGTACCACCAGCTGCAGTCAGCCCTTGACACAGTTCTTCAGAGACAGAGGTTTGTAAGTAACTTTTAGCATCCATGCTGCAGATCCAGTGAAAAGGGTAGTATGTGTGCAACAGTCCGACCAGGTTGCTGGACAACACTTTAATGATGTAAGACATATATATGTATATATAAAAGAAATTATAATATGCCAATAATACTTTTTAATGCATGGGTTTGCTCTAATAGCAATTCCTTGAGACTGTTACATAGGCAGCATTAGTAGCAACAGGTTAAAAACCCTAGGCAAATTCACTACTGGAAGGCATGCACAAGCCAGAGAAGTGAGCAATGCATAGTCTGATTGGGTAAAGGACTCTGAAGCGCCTCACTACCACCACCTGGGGAAAAGGTAATATATCCATGTAACGGGAATTACTGTCACTGTGCTTCCAAAAGGCAAGGAAAGAGAAGCCCCGTTTCCACCGATCCCTTCACAAAGGTTTTTCCTTGATCACAAGAGCCTAAAGGGGATGTGGTGCTTCAGGAGCAAACAGTTGCTAGCACACTACAGCACAGCCTGACAGTGAAATGAGGAGGCAGTCATTTCGCTATTATTATTTTTATTTTCATATAAATTAACATTCTAAAAAAATTGAAATAGAAACACTAAATACAGTATTGCACATAGTGATCTTTGTTAGATGGTCTATTATTTCATTTACTAGAGTAATATACATACTGTAGGTACTGAAGGGAACAAGAAAGCTACAAATGAAAACATGCTACTGTATCCTTCACTTAGGAGCAAAGTTAAGAGGAAAATACTATTGTTTACATAAATACAAACATGGATTTGAATCAGTGCCATTAAAATAGCTTTATTTTTTTAAAGTTTTTTTTCCATAAGTTAGTTGTAACAGCAAATAATCTCTTCTTTTCACTTCCCCAAATAGCAATGTTACTCCCATAAACACAAAATTTTAGAACTCCATTCTTTGTAATTTATATCCCTGCCAGAAATTATTACAAGTACAGATTTTCACATAGGTTTGTCAGCAACAGGAGACTTGCTTTTCACATAGTGAAAAAAACTTATTTTCTAGTGCTTGGTATATGTGAAGAATAACAGATTCCTGAGGTCCTATTTCGCACTACCTTTTAGGACACCCTGTAGGGTATATTAGCCTCTGGACAGCTAGGAATGTCTCTTGATGTGCTAGATTAGACAGGGAATAACCCAACCCAGCAGGTTAGAGCTCATTCGCCTTACCCCAGTGTCTTTCAGGCTCCAAGGCTGTAAGCATGTACGTCCAATTCAGTTGCACACACAGCCTGCTTTCAGGAAAAGTGCGCTTTGAAAGAAAAATGTTATCAATCAGGCTTGGGGCTCTTAAATTAGGGCTGGAGGAAGGGGTTATCAGTTGAGCAGGTCAAAACTGATATAGTAAATTCTGGATTGCAAATAGGAATTAAGCATGTGGTCTAAAATGGAAGCCCTAAGTCACACATTTCAATCATTAACCTCCTAGTCAGGGACACAGAGAGCCTGGAGTAAAAGTCTGCAGTTCTGTTAAGTGTGAAACTGATGTCAATTAGCTGGTAGTCTACATTCTGTCACTAGAACTGGCTACTGTTTTCCATAAATGCCAATCCCCATGTGCATCTTCTAATGGCTCTCTAAAGGAGTTTTAAATTAACTGTAAAGCTAATTCCAAAAGGGAAGTCATGTACATGTGGCCAAAAGCCTGTCTGACTTAACTGATCAGCAGTTAAAACTATACTATACCTCCTAAAGTTCATGGAAAAGTATTAGCTGCTTTATATATTAACAAACTATAATAGCCAAATCTCTCTCATACTCTCTATCATACTTCTGTGCTTTTCGGTATTTTTCTGCTTTTCACTTACTCTTTTTTTTCTTTTTCTATTTTTTTTTTTTTTTTAAATGCTGGATTTCTGACCCCCATACTACCTGGCATTCACTATCTGGCAAAAGATGAAGTAAAAGTATGCTGCCTTATCGATTTTAAAGATAGTTACAGTAAACATCTTGTTCCACAAATATTTAGTCATGGAGGGCAACCAAACAAGTTGGGAAAGCATTGATTATATTGTATAAACAGCACTTAACGATTCAAAATACAAACTACAAATGCCAACATGAAACGGATACAAACAATTCACTAGGAGTAACATAATCTAAGTGCAGTGCTATGAAGTGTTTGTATTAGACAGATGTTGCCAGTAGGAATGGAAATGTTTTACTGTATCAAGTAGCATTCTTATGAAGTTCAACTTAATGCAATTTTCAGCATGTTCAGAACTGATGCAGATGCCACTTTTTATGCATGCTGACTTGGCCTATTTGTAATATACCATACACTTTACAAAATATCATTTTTGAGTGGCAAAGGAGATACAGAGCACAGGGAAGGTGTTTCAAGTCCATACCTAGTCTATTGCTGGGCACTCCATTACAGTGACTACATTCATGAATGAATGTACAATAACACATTAATTGGTGGAAAACTCTAGAGAACAAAAATCAAATTCAAAAAGGTCAAGAAAGCAAATGATCAGGATGATGTAGTTTCCTTGCCCCTCACTCCCCACCCGTGTTGAGTTTTGGTAACCAGGTAACAATGGCTTTTGCTTTTCTTCTCTCAGATTTTCATACTTATCTTTGCTTTCTGAAAAATAAAATAAATTTAAAAAGCAGAAAATTGAGTATACATAACCCACCTCACACAAATATGAAAAGCACAGAAAGCTAATGTTCAATTATACTTACTGGACAATTGAATTCACAAATAAATTTCCTTTGAAGCTAGAACTGAAGTAGACTGCAGCTACACACTGCTTGTGAAATACTTTTATTTACTTTCTTTTTCACTCTATCAAATTGTCAGTAACAGTGAAAGTGCAAATAAAAATGATAGTGATACAGGTGTAATTAATCCTATGGTTATTTCTTATACAAAAAATTTCTCTCAATGTCTTTACATACAGCAAGATATAGGAGAGATGAAGAAATCCAAATCAATGTTAGTTTGGGGTTTGGGTTTTATTTGAAATAATATCTTGATCTGGTTTCAAATTAAATTGATAAAATAAAATCTAGATTCTCATTCCTAATCAAGCTGTAACTCTGTTTGCATTTAATGTGGTGCTAATCACAGCCAACTCTCCCTAAATATTCAGAATAAGAAACAATAAATGCAATATTATTTCTTCGTGTTGCAGATTATGTTTGTTAGAATAAACCAAACTACCACCTGCTTCATTTGAAGGATGTGTCACAGTAACATAGCCATGACTACAAAGCACAAAAGAATTAAATCATGCCTGGGTGTGGGAGGCGGGCAGGGACATGGACACATGAAAATATCACAGAATCACAGAATCGCAAGGGTTGGAAGGGACCCGCCAAAGCAGGTTCTCCTAGAGCATGTTACACAGGACTTCGTCCAGGCGGGCTTTGAATATCTCCAGAGGAGGAGACTCCACAACCCCCCTGGGCAGCCTGTTCCAGTGCTCTGTCACCCTCAAAGTAAAGAAGTTCTTCCTCATATTCAACTGAAACCTTTTATGTTTCAGTTTGTACCCATTGCTCCTTGTCCTGTCGCTGGGCACCACTGAGAAGAGTCTGGCTCCGTCCTCATGACATCCACCCTTAAGATATTTGTATGTGTTGATGAGGTCCCCTCTCCGTCTTCTCTTCTTCAGGCTGAACAAACCCAACTCTCTCAGCCTTTCCTCATAGGGGAGATGCTCCAGTCCCTTTATCATCCTAGTTGCTCTCCTCTGGACCCTTTCTAGGAGTTCCTCATCTTTCTTGAACTGGGGAGCCCAGAACTGGACTCAGTACTCCAGGTGGGGTCTCACTAGGGCAGAGTAGAAGGGGAGGATAACCTCCCTCTGTTATATGTATTTTTTGTTATAATATTTTACAAATATAATTGATGGCCAGTTGCTACAGGTATAATTTTAAGGTGAGATTCCAGATTAATTTTTCACTAGAGGAATATTCATTTTCTGTAAAATCAGTCGTGATCCTAGCAATGCTTGGGCAATCATAGTGGGAAAGTTTCACTGAATTACTAGAAATACTCCTCTACTATCATTGAAATTATTTATCTGTTTTCGGAAGAATGGTGAGAACACAGTATTATCTTTTTCTAGGGTTTCTATTCCAAACAAATCCAGGTCAGTGGAACAGAAGCCACTAGTGCTTCATACAGGCATCCAACTTGAAAAATGTGTACCTATCACAATTCTTCCTTACATTTTGTAGCTGTAGAAAAGAGAGTGAATGCAGACTGAATAAGCTTGAAGACTGGAACTGCCTTTCTGCCTTCTAGGTGCATCCCACACCAAGACTGGGATACAGTTTAGCAGGGTGGGGCAATAATGTGGTGCTCTTTCTTGTGCTACATCTATTTTGTAGAATAATATTCATAGGCAGCATTCAAGTTTGTTAATCTAATACTTTTTATGAACATTTTAAACATTAAAATAAACCCCAAGAAACAGAACAAAAAAGTTCATCAAGAATAACATACCTATAAAATGCAAGGAGAAAAAGGTAGAACGAGTGATGGGAACTGAAGTATTGCTACATTTTTTACTTACAATTCCAGAGTCATGTTTTGGTCTTATATTGTATAGCGACTTCCCCTTTTTCTGCCTGCAGACTTCCTCTGCTTCTTTAACTCTGAAGAGAGACAGAATTTATAAATATTCATGCAGACCAGAACCATTTCCAAGGACAATGCAGTATATAACTTTCAAATTTAGGCCTGAGGACACAAGTGGATAACTTTATTCCCCATATTTTCATTAGCACGCTCCACAAAATAGCACTTGCACTCTGTGGCTGTTGTTGTTAATACCATCAGACTCTGGCACTTACAAGGACAGGCATAATTGATGGCACAGTTAATTGTAATTACAAAAGCAATCAGTACTTACTGTAGTTGAAGATTCAAATGTATCAGGACTTAAAATACACTGGATGACATGAAGTTTCAGAGCATTCATACCAAACACTGCTTAAAAAGCTCCTTTTCTTTTATGACTGTTTAAAAATCATTCTTCATCCATTCCTGACCTCAGTACTTCAACTGCAGTTTCAACAAATTTTCTCACCAAGCTATCTTCCCTTTCACCCAATTTTGCTTGTATGTAAAACGGCAAAATAGCTTAACCTGAATTTCCAGTTTTCACTCTCTAATTTAAAATAAAAATGGAAAATTGCATGGAACACAATGTTTACAACCAAGGTGGCACGCATCACTGTGCACATCTCTCTTTCCAAAGCTGAGGGCAAGCAGCAAGGTGTATATGGCCACAGGGGATGAATGCATTCGGTCTGCTTAAATGTAAAGGGAGAAGTAGGCTCCAGAAATGAGGGTCCACTTAGTGCTTCCTGACTTGGTAAACGGTACCAAATTAGGGCCTTGTGAAATGCCACCAAATGCCACAGTTTTGATGAGATAAACATCCTGTTTGTCACGCAGATAGGGAACAAGCTGTGAAAGGCAGAGGGCTACACTCAGACTGGGAGCCTTCCACAATCAGTTTGATGGGTTCAACGGCACACTGTAAAATGTTTCTTTACCATTTTTGCTCATTTTGTAGATCAACCTTACAAACACACATGGCTATTGAAACATTGGTAATACAGATTTAAGTTATGAATTCTCTGAGCTCCAAAGACTTACATAAACCCTTTCTATATGATGCATTAAATGGCATGAGATGTGTAAATTTTTTTATGAGAGAATATAATTTATAAATAAGAAAGTAGAAAATAAAAATATAAATCTTATATTGGCTTGCTCTTGCCAACAAAATAGACTTTAGATGGCACTTACTCTGCCTTTTCATCATTATCCATCAGTGAAAGAAAGAAACAACAATAAAATGATATTGAAGAAATTATATATCCTTGGCCCATTTCTTGCGGTTCCTCTCCAGACCACTTACATGCCTGCTATTTTGCTGAGGCTACAGAGGGCAATGTGACAATCAGACTTGGTGTTACTATTATTTTTAAATATTTTCAGTGTGTGTGGTAGGGGCCAGATTTTGAAAATAAGACTCCATCTGGGTCTGCTAAGCACATTAAAAAAGCACTTTCACATTCAACTCTCCTTTATCCAACTTCACCAGACACACCTCGTTCTTTTCATAAGTTTTAAATTTATACTTTCAAAAATTAATTTAAATGTCCGTTCTTTTCCAGCACTTCCGACAAGCTGCTCTCTTCATTTGCTGTCCTTATATTTTATTAATGTAGGAAGACCTTTACGTGCACAGGTGTGGGGGGGGAAGGTGCTTTTAAAATTATTTTCAAGCTGTAACACTTTCTGTCTGACTGCAAATCAGATAGATTGCTGCAGCATAATTTAGAACAAGAATGTCAAACAGCCAAGTAATTCACCTTTAAAATGTATTTAAACAGATTCAGTAGAAGTGGCAGCCAAAATGTGGTGATAGCTTTAAATAGAATCTTATGGGAATGATACAGAATGCAGTAAAATTTAAAGACATTTTCTTTCCCAAAATGCCACCTTTTCTTCTGCTTCGTGTCTACTTACGTCTGAAGGAGGAAAAGTATCTGTGACATTCATCTGCCCATGATCTTTTCCAACAGTCAGACATATTCCGACCCTTTGAAAGCCACTCTTACAAAGTCAGATATAAAATAGCACGTCTATCATATAAATTTCCTTTTTTTCCAAATACAGCTATAGCTGGCTCCCTTCACTGGCAGACATCATTTAAATAAGAAAATGAAATGTGACTTGGGAGTAAATTAGTATCAAATCCTGGGGACTGTACAAGTACTATTGATGTTATCAAAATGACTGTTTTAGAGAAGCAATGTAATATATGCAGCTATTCAGACTACTCATTGTGTAAATGACAGCATATGTAACATGCAATAATATTTACCAAATCAGTTCACACAGATCAAGATGTTATTTTCAGGAAATGCCAGGGAATCTTTAGTTCCAGTCTTTGTCCCATCTAAATATCCCTGTTCCAGGATAGATTACCCACTGCTTGCCTAACACACCAGGTCATAAGACAGCACAGCTCTCTGTGGGTCTCATGTTAATTCAGAATGAAAATCCTTATACGTAATGGAACCATTGATAACACAGTGATAGGGGTTTCTTTCTAAAAAACACATCCCGTTAAGTGTCACTGTCAGTGGAACTGCTCTAAATGCTCTGCTTTTATTAGAGAAATAGTTAGAAAGGCTGTCTCTGCTTGAAACAGCAAAATGCTAATAATAACACCACTCTGTGAGGGAGGAAGTCAGAACTTCTGTGTCCCTTCGATTGCACTTTAAAAAATGATGCAACCTCCAGACTGATAAATGACAACCTTAAGCTTCTGCTACCCATTTTTCTAGGATTATGTAAGGGGTTCTGGTCTCGCTAGTATGGTTGCGGTCTTCAAGTTCTTGGGAGCTTTTGTGAAATTCCTTGGAGTGTGAGCCTATTTATTCATACCGATGGGAATGCAGAAGATGAGAAGCATTACTTCCTAACGCACTTAAGACAAAGCTGAGAGCTAGCAGCTGCTCAGTTCCAGTTCCAACCATATCACTGACTCACTGTGTGGGTTTGGGACAGCTCGCTGTCTCTTGGCCCCCATCCTGCTCTCTGCGCAGGAAGATTCAAGTAGTTGGACAGAGCCTCACTAAAGCCAATATAACCTATACGTATGCTTCTTCAGCAAGAAACATCCTCAGAAATGTAAAGACAGCCCACCAAAGGGTCATTGCTAGGAGGCTTAGTTTATGACCATGTTAAAGCTGGAAGCACAGAGAACTGTATAAATCTACAGCTGTATCTATAAAAGAAAAGTTGGAAGACTGGTGAAATATAGAGACAAAGTCAATCATTAGCCTTCCACAGTGCTAAATCATAAACTACCAGAACCAGTATCAATTTCCACAGTGTGCAGGTGTATTTTCTGAAGACTGATCATTCAACTATATTAGGATTTTAAGAAATGTAAAATTAAAATAATCTGATTTTTCTGGAAGAGCAAAAGGATGTGTTTTGATATGAACATCAGTACCATTTAAACTGCAAAATATAGAAATCCAGATAAAATATTACATTTGAAGTAAGGGCAATAGTCTGAATGCAGTTAAAAATAACTTAATTGCCATTGGCAATTTTTTGTCCGTTTCTTAGTTTTCTTCACTGGCCCTCAATGATTCTTCATCTTCCCATCTATGAAACTAACAAGATTTGGGCAAAACCACCTTGCTTCTGTCAACTCACACCTGGTTCAATTCATATTTCTCGCAGTGACAAATTCCTGTGTACCTTCCTCTTGCTCAGGCTTTTCCTGCACTACTTCCCCCTGACTTCAGTGAGACCCTGAGCAGCATGGAGGTGCAAGACAATAACCCGAGGCCAAAAGGTGCAAAAATTGTATGAACACTAGTGGTTATATCAGGAAGACTGGGTTAACTATTCAACTATGGTGAGGAGTTAGAGCTTTATGAAGAAATAAATGGATCCAATTCAATACTGGGAAGACGTAAGAGGATATTTGGAGAAAAAAGCCTCAAGAGCGATGAATCTGTGAGCCTCCCAACAGTCACAAAAGGGGAAGCAGTTGCAGGCAATGAAACACTTCCAGGCTCCAAGCCAAAGTGACACTGCTGCTCTGTCGATGCAGAGCACAAAGAGCTCAAAGAGCATGAAACAGTTAAAAACACATTCCTAGGAAAGGAATGGGGATTCAGTTGTCAGGCTTCCAGTGGAAGTTCCACAGTTCCTGAGAAATATGACCCTTAGGCGAAGGCAGGCATGTGTATAGATTGATTTATTGTTCTGAGGATCTGTTTCTACTTAAACTATTTAGTTCTATGCTACTAATACTTTCTGCTATAGAGGCTGTTCTATCCCTTTATAGAGCCATTGCTCTCAAGTGCAACCAAATACTCAGAAGCAGGACAGATACTCAAGGCAGGGTGATCTGAGAGTAGGCAAGTAAGGTGGAGGTGACAATAGTGAGCTCTTGAAGAAGCCAGGTGGTAGAGTTAACTTGATAAGTGTGATGGGAGCAATGTGCAAGCTTACAGTGTGCTAGGCTTCTTTGCTAAACTAATGCTCAAACTATCTCTCTTCAACCTTTTCAACTTCTCAAACTCACCTTCTTTCAGCAAACTGACCTTGCTTCATTTGCTACCAACCCCTGTCGCATCTCATGTCAATTCTGGCTTAAAAGTGAGTATAGGACTAGCTTGATAGGAAAAATAACACCAGCCATACTACACTTAGCAGTTTTTGCCTGTTACTTCATTTCTCACAACATAATCCAACAAAAACTAGTTTTCCCAGTCTAGACCACCAGAGAGTTGCTTAACTCTCTGGTGTAGTAATCTGAAGAGCAGAGGTATTAACAGCAGTGGACCCAACATCAGGCCTAGGGCAGATTCTATAAATACTGAATAAGAGTGTTCATAACTCAAATCTGGACAAATATACTACTTAAATATTAAATTTAGCTAAAGCATTGCTTGCATTATTTCAGAAAGCATACACTTCCAAACAGCCTCAACAATAAGAAAACATGTAGGTAACATACAACAGTGGGCAATCTGTGGATCAGTTACAAAAATACCCAAACCTACAAGTGAATGGAGAGCCAGTCACTTACAGAATTGAAGAATTAAGG